CCCTAGTCTAATCAAAATTGGTTACAGTTCCACTTTGGGCATACTAAAAATTTAACTAGACATAGCTGCTCTTAAACCCAGTATCTAAAATAATAAGAGAAACAATCACCAGATTTTGTCAGGTGTGGATGTTCTTGTGGGAAATCAAATAGTATTTTAGGAAAGAATAAATTAGGAAATTTGTAAATTGTACATGTTTGAACAATTAGGAACAATCCCATAAATCAAGGGATCCTAGAATAAAATAGAGTTATTATATTTCCTAAAATAGCTTAGGTCTCATGTATATATCTTGTATGATCTCTTTATATTAAAATAATAAAATCAGATTTCATTTAATCTAATTTTCTAGATGGTATCAGAGCTTCCAACCTAAGAAGTTCTATTTGCGCACTATAAACCCTAAGACAGCAGCCTGCATTGCTGCTGCATCGCATCTTCTTATTATAATGTCAAGGAAAGAGGAAGTTGTGAACCCAACCCCAAAAATAAGAAATACCCAATCCCAACAATCTAGAGAACTGCATAATATCCATTATGCATATAGACTAAATGGAAGAAATTATTTGAAGTGGGCCCAACTTGTTCGTACAGTGTTGAATAGAAAGGGGTAGCCGAACAGAAGAAAGGAGGATCAACAAATGTGGAGAAGAAAGGTGATGGTCTCTAGTGTACCTACTGCAATAAGTCTCGTCATACCCGAGAGAAGTGTTGGAAGTTACATGGAAAACCTTTAAATCAAGATTGAGAAGGGGGACACAGAGGAGGCTCCTCAAGGAAAGGAGGACAAGTTTATGTTGTTGCTAAAACAAATGAAGGAAATAATCCAGAAGTTGTTGTCCATCTTAACCAAGAGGAGATAGAAAGAGTGAGAACCTTTCTTAGTAAGCTGGAAAAACCTACAGACGTGTGTTCTTTGGCATACTCAGGTAAGTTTCCACTTTCTTTTGGATTAAATGTCTTAGATATACCTTTTAACCATTATTGGATATTGGATTCTAGAGTCACAGACCACATGACACCATTAGGCAAACACTTCTCCACATATTCCCCATGTCCCAACAACAAGAAAATTGCCACAGCAGATGGAACCCTTATAACTGCAGCTGGTGAAGGAAATATCCAAATTAATCATTTAATAACCTTTAAAGATGTTCTTCATGTCCCAAAGTTGTCCACCAACCTAGTCTCTATACAAAAACTTATAAAGGATTTGTCATGTAAAATTATTTTTTTTCAACGATCATTGTATATTTCAGGACAAGGATTCGGGAAGGATGATTGGACATGCTAGAGAATGGAATAGCCTTTATTATCTTGAAGATCCAAGTCTATTCAGCAGGAACGATCTCTCACTCCTTCGTATCTGAATCCTTGATGACCAACAGAGAAAAAATCATGCTTTATCATTGTCGGTTGGGACATCCCTCTTTTGGAGTGATCAAAATTATGTTTCCCTCTCTGTTTACCAAGTTAGATGTTGAGAGTCTTCATTGTAAGGTGTGTGAACTTGATAAGCACAAGCGTGTATCTTTTCAGATAAGTAATAGAATTAGCAATTTCCCTTTTTATCTTGTTCATACTGATGTATGGAGACCTTCTAATGTTCCAAATGTATCTGGTGCTCGACGGTTTGTCACCTTTATAGATGATTGTACAAGGGTCACTTGAATTTTCTTACTTAAACAAAAATAAGAAGTCAGTTTTGTCTTCCTATACTTCCACTCCTTGATAAAAAATCAGTTTGGTGTTAATATTAAGAGGTTTAGGTCAAATAATGCCAAAGATTATTTTAATCATGTACTTAATTATTTTTGTCAAAAATAAGGTATAATTCATTAGTCCTCTTGTGTCAAAACACCACAACAAAATGGGGTCGCAAAGAGGAAAAATGGACATCTATTAAATCAGACTCGGGCATTATTGTTCCAAAAAAGTGTCCCAAAAAATTTCTGGGGGAAGGTATCCTTACAGCAACATACCTTATCAATAGACTATCCTCTAGAGTCTTAGGATCAAAAAGCCCTATAGAAGCTTTGTCGTCTTTCTATCCAAACCTGTCCACTACAAATAATCTTAAACCAAGAGTTTTTGGGTGCATCTCATATGTCCATATTCATAATACAAATAGGGGAAACTTGATCCTAGAGCCTTAAAGTGTGTCTTTGTTGGTTATTCACCCACTTAGAAAGGGTATAAATGCTACAACCCCCCATCCAAAAAATTCTTTGTGTCTAAGGATGTTACCTTCAATGAACAAGAGGGCTATTTCCATCAACCTTATCTTTAGGGGGAGAGTTTCAAGAAAGATAAGGAAAGTAGTAATTTTGGTTTTCCCATTCTTCCAGACTTGATATTTGAACCTAAACGAGATCAAATTGAAGTTGTAACAAGTGAAACAAGTCAAGGAATTGGTCAAGAAAGTGAAATTAATTGTGAAGTTGATCAAGGAGATGTTGAAGCTGAAAAATTTGGTAAGAAGCTGATGTACTCAAGGAAGACTAAGACCATTCCAGGATCAAGCCATGTTCAAGAATCCAACTCGACTCCACAAAAAGAGGTAACAATTTTTTCTCCAGTTGTGCAAGTTGAAATTGAAACCCAAAATAATCCTTACCTCCCAATTGCCATTAGAAAAAGGACAAGAAAACGCACCAAACAACCACTCTACCCTCTCTCAAATTACCTGTCCTTTACAAATTCTCTCCTACCCATAAAACCTTCCTAGTAAACCTAAACATTGCACTTCTACCTAATACCCTATCTGAGACATTGTTTGACATAAAATGGAGGTAAGTCATGGATATAGAGATGGAGGCATTAGAGAAGAACAACACCTGGGAGTTAGTCACCTTACCAATAGGAAAGAGGCCAGTTGGATGTACGTTGGTCTATACAGTGAAATAGTAAAATACAAGGCTGATGGATCAATTGAGAGATATAAGGCAAGACTAGTTGTCAAAGGGTTCACCCAAACCTATGGAGTTGATTATTTGGAGACCTTTGCTCCTATTGCCAAAATGAACACAGTTAGGGTGATATTGTCCCTTGCTGTCAATTATGGTTGGAACTTGGAACAATTTGATGTTAAGAATGTTTTCCTACATAGAGACCTTGAAGAAGAAATTTATATGGAGATACCTCCGGGATATGGTAGAGATGTTGTTGTCAACATTGTTTGTAAGTTGAAAAAGGCATTATATGGGCTAAAACAGTCCCCCCGTGCATGGTTTGGCAGGTTTACTAAAGTTATGACAGGTCTGGGTTACAAATAAAGCTAAGGGGACCATACTTTGTTCTTTAAACATTCCAAGTCAGGAGGAGTAACAATATTATTGGTGTATGTGGATGACATAATGTTGAGCCAATGCTTAGGCAAGGAATTTGAGATCAAGACCTTGGGAAAACTAAAATATTTTCTGGGAATTGAAGTTGCCCACTCCAAGAAAGGGATATTTATATCTCAGCAAAAATACATCACTGATTTGCTCAAGGAAACTGGCAAGGCAGCTTGCAAACCTGTAAGTACCCCATTAGAACCAAACCTAAAGCTTGGAAATGCATAAGAAGATATTGTTGTTGAAAAAGATATGTACCAGCAATTAATGGGTAGACTTATATATTTGTCGCATAACAGGCCAGATATTGGCTATGCAGTGAGTTTAATTAGTCAATTTATGCATAACACAAAGAGACCCATTTACAAGCTGCCCACAGAATTTTACAGTACCTTAAAGGAACTCCAGGAAGATGGATTCTATTCAGAAGGAATGGTAATGTGAAGCTTGAAGCCTATACTAATGTTGATTATGCAGGGTCAATTGTGGATATGAGGTCAACTACAGGATATTGAACTTTTCTTAAAGGAAATCTTGTGACTTGGAGAAGCAAAAAGCAAGGTGTAGTCGCTCGGTCCAGTGCTGAAGCGGAATTCCGAGCCATGACACAAGGTATATGTGAGTTGCTATGGCTTAAAATCATCTTAGAAGACTTGAGGATAAAATGAGAAGAACCTATGAAACTCTATTGTGATAATAAGTCAGCAATCAGCATAGCCCACAACCCAATGCAGCATGATAGAACAAAACATATTGAAGTAGACAGATACTTCATCAAAGAAAAGCTTGATAGTGGCATAATATGCACTCCATATGTGTCCTCTCAAGACCAAATTGCAGACATTCTTACCAAGGGACTGGACTACCACAATTATGAGAAGATTGTATCCAAGCTAGGAATGAAAAACACCTATTCACCAGCTTGAGGGGGAGTGTGGGAAATCAAATAGTATTTTAGGAAAGAATAAATTAGAAAATTTGTAATCTGTACAGATTTGAACAATTAGGAACAATCCCATAAATCAAGGGATCCTAGAATAAAATAGAGTTATTATATTTCCTAAAATAGCTTAGGTCTCCTGTATATATCTTGTATGATCTCTTTGTATTAAAATAATAAAATCAGATTTCATTTAATCTAATTTTCCAGAGTTCTCCTAATCACTTTTGTTCTTAAATTCACAAATTTAACAAGCAGCAGTAACCTACCTAATTGTGAATCAAATGCAGCTCACGATGGGTTAGTTAGGTTATTCTTACAAACTTTTAGCATACTTATGGAACGAAGATTGTACGCATGTTTTGAGTAACTCCATTTGAAGCATTAACAAATTAAGACTTAAGAGCACAGCAACATAAAGATTAGAAGTACAAGTACTCAATATTCCTTCTATTAACATTATCGTTTTTACAAAATAATGATACTTTTTAACTATATTTGTCATAACTACAAGTTATAGCCACATGTGCATCTCAGAAGCTGATTGACCTCTTCTCTACATAAACCTAACAATCTAGCAGCTTTCACCTCTAATAATCAAAATGACATACATAACACACGAAACATCTTGTACAGAACGATGCCAAATAGAAATACAGAACCAGCAAAGGCACACAAGTTGTAAAAGCAATAAGAAAAATGTGGTCCAACAGGTGACTTACAGCTTCCATATGTTTCCTGCTGTTCTCCTGGACTTTAAACTCTGAAGTAGATTTTGCATGCTTTCGCCTCTTATAAGTTCGAAAACATTCAATGGCACCAGAGTTCCCTTCAACAACACCAAATCCATCTGCAATTGCCACTACATTATCTACAGTTCCATTCTTCAAGCGGTCCTCTTCACCTTTAGTAACACCACTCCCATCTGCAATTACCACCTCATTATTTACAGCTTCATTCTTTGAGCCCAGACCTTCTCCACTGTAAGCAACACCATTCGCATCAGCAATTGCCACCCCACTATTTATAACTTCATTCTTTGAGCCCAAAACGTATTCAGAAACACCGTTCCCATCAGCAATTACAACCCTGCTATTCATGACATCATTCTTCAAGGCCCAAACTTCACCTTTAGCAACACCATTTCCACCCTCAAGTACCATTCCATTATTTACAGTTGCATTCTTCAAACCCCAAACTTCTTTCCTTTTAGCAACACCATTTCCTCCTTCATGTGTCACCCAATTATTTACAGCTTCCTGCTTCAAGCCCCGAACTTCTTCACCTTCAGCAACACCATTCCCACCTTTAATTGCCACCCTATTATCTACAGCTTTATTCAAACCCTGAACATCTTTAACTTCAATCACAACCCCATTATTTATAGTTTCATCCTTCAAGCCTTGACTTTCTTCACCTCCCGCGACCTCATTTCCACCTTGAATTCTCCCCCCATCATCTCCATCTCGAGAATCTGACCTCCTATCCAACCCAGCCCGTTCACCGTTATCACCATTGCTAGTTCCATCCTCAGCTTCCATGAATACAGAACCCCAATTTCCAAAGCCTCACGGACGAAAACTAGGGTTTTACAGGATACAGATCCAAAATTCCTCAAGATTTGTCTCTCACCAACTTCACAGAGCAGCAACACTGAAAGCCACAAATACCAAAGTCACCAACACACCTAAAGTAAAATACAGACACACCATTAGGCCCCTCAAAACCCAAATAAACGAACAAAACAGCCACCTCAACCTCAACCACTAAGATACATGGAGCGTAAGCAGTAACAAAAGCTCAAAAACAAGCAAAACACCAACACGCTTCCATGCCAATAAATTCAGTAAATATCTAAAAAATGAGAAAAACAAAGCACCCGAAAAGCTTTTACTATTCATTCATGTAAGAAGTGAATTACTAAAAAACTAAACGGAAACAGTGGGGGGAAATAGAAGAGGAAGAAGAAGCGCTTACAGTAAGTGGGGTTTGAGGAAGTGGCTAAAGTAACGGGAATTGGAAGAATCAGATAGAGAGAGAGAAAGGGTGGTGAAGTTGTTGTTGGGACGTTGAAGCAGTGGAGCAGCAGAAGAAGCTCCTACTGTCTTATCCTTCTCGTTTTATTTAAACACCACCGTCTTTTTTTCTTTCGCCGGTCATTTCTTTTTTCCTTCTTTTCCTTAAAAATATAAAATTTAATCTGAAAAGACACGTGATTGGGCTCTGGCTTCCAGAAAGCCCATGAAAAGGGCTGCTTCTTGCACCCATATAATTTCTATACACCTCGTAATATATCTAAAAGCTGCTTCTTTCGATAAATTATATTATGTTCATGTTTGTTAAAAAAAGATATTGTCAAAATATTATCTCTTTCATTTCTCACATTCATCAAAATTTGTATAATTTTTAATTGATTTTTGAGCATGAGTTTGGTTGATTTTATCCAAAAATTGAATTGGGTTGAATTTGTTTACATCTATTGAATTGATACACTAAGACTAATTGGATCATAAATTTTAAAAAATATATTTAAAATAAAAATGTCAATATGTTATTGTGACTTATTATTATTATTATTTTTAAAACAAAAGTGTAATCGGTTGAAATAATTTTTTAAAATATCTCAAAGATGTATTAAGATTTTATTACTTATTTAGTGTATTTTCAATTTAAAGTGATTTTAATAAAAGGAATTATTTAAATAATATTTTATGAAAAATAATTTATAAATTAAACTATAAATAAGTTCATAAGAAACTGTATCCTCCTTACTGAGAAAAATTAAAATTCTTGTTGTAGAATAGAAGAAAGATTTAGAGATTGTAATGGAACAAATTCGCTATGAAACAGTCCCAACTTCTGCGTATTGGTTAAATGGGTGCAACAGAGATCCTCAAAGATTTATACGTATAGAGACATCGCCAACAACGGTTACTAAGTCACCAACTACATGTAGATATTGGATAAATGGCAACTGCTTTTACGGTGATAGTTGTCGAAATTTACATTCATGGCCAGACTCCAATGAACACAACGTTGTCAAGGTACATCTTTAAAGCTTATGCCCTCAGTAATGTCCAAGTGTCACTAAATCCTATTGTTTGAACTCTATCAATTTACCAAGATGCAAAAATTTGCAGGAGGACAATTTAAGACCTAGAAAACTAATTTGGTGGACAGCACCCTGTGAAGGATTCGTGAAGATTAATTGTGATGGAGCCTTCACAGTTCATGGAAACAAAGGTGGTGCAGGAGGGGTTGTGAGGGATTCGGAAGGGAAATTTATCTTTGGTTTCTCCAGTGGCTTGAAAAATTCCTCACCGATGATGGCTGAATTAAAAGCAATTAAGATCGGAATGGAAACAGCCATGGCGAAGGGATTCATGAACTTAATTGTTGAGAGTGATTCTAAAGTTGCTATTGAAATCATTACCAGCGTCGTAACAGAAGAAAGAAAGTCTGATGATGGAGGTCTAAATGTTATCTCTTCAATAGTTGAATTGGGTAAGAAAGCTTATCATATTTCTTGGAATCATGTCTTCAGGGAAGTCAACTCAGTCGCAGATGGTCTTGCCAAACATGGATTATCGTTATCTCCTGATTTCGGTGTTAAATTGTTCCACCATCCTCCCTATTTTATTCACAGTCATTTGTCTGAAAATAAGATTGGAAAAGTTTATGTTCGATGATACATTTTTCTTTCATAGTCTTTCTCCTCCATTCTACTTGTATATTATTTTGTATTTTACTTTAAAATATATAACAAATGAGAGTATTTTATGATAATATCTTTTTTTATATAGTTTTTCTTTACTTTTTATTTTGTAAAAAGATTCAAATTATTTTCTTTATATATTGCTTTTTTACAAAGATCAAAATAAAATAGTTGAACATTAACCATGAAACATAACGGAATAACAAAATGAGTCTTGTAATTCTGAGTTATCATTTTCGATTAACTTTTAAAATCAATATATATTTTTTTCTCTTCTCAATATACGATTCAGAATGAGAAGATTCGTACACCCATCACAAAAAGTAAACAAACATCCAATATATAACTGACTTTAATATTATAATAATACTTTAAAATTATTTTTTAAAATCTTATTATAATTATTATAGTGATAAAAACGGGTTGTTAAGAGAACTTATAACCAACCGCTCCTTGTAAAATTATGTTGTTGGATTGAAAAATTTGTTAATTAATATTATGATTATATTAGTTTTTTTTTTTATCATTTAACCTTAATTAAAGGAGATATATTTTAAAACAGAAGGTTATGTTTTTCTTTTTAGATTGTTTTGAATGGAAAGGAATTGAATTTGACTTTCTCTGAATTCATTTAATTTCATATTTGTAATATTTTTTGCTTCCATTTCCCTCTTATTAGTGATCTAGCATTCAATCAATGAAATATCTAAAGGAAATGGTAGCTTTTTTATTCAATTCTATTAGATTTTTCTTACAGTTAAAATATCTTTATTTTATTCAATTTCAAATAAAATGATTTGATATATAAATTATAGTGTATATATTTATTTATTCTAATAGAATAATATGGTTTTTTATTTCTCTAAAAAAAATATTATTTTAAAAAATCAATTGACTGGTAAGTTTATTTAGTTTAATCAAAATAATATTTATTTTATTTTTTTATAATTTTTTCACTTAATTTGATGCATTTAACTAATTTTTTTAGTTGATTATTGTCCGAACCATTTTGTCACTCTAACAGTTTTTATATGAAAATTTATTCATATAAGTTTTATTTTTATTGTTTTATAGTTATCTTCTACCTATAAATTATCTGTTTATTTCTCGAGATGAAAGTTAAAGGGACTGAAAAATGAAAAAAAAAAGTTAAATTTTGATAAATATTGTTTACATGTGTTTAATATTATTTATTTTTCCTCACATAAAAAAAAGGGAGAATTTTAAAATATTTATATAACATAATTAATTATTTTAAAAAGATCACGGTATAATTTTTTATAAAAATCTTTAATTTTTTACTTCTTTATTATAATAGTAATTTTAAAAATAATAAAATATTTTTTCTTATTTTCCATATATTTAATTTTTCAATTTTTTTTACTCATTTAAATTTATTGAACGATTAAAGACCTATTTTGAACGACCTATTTAAATTATGATTTGTATAACTCTGATCAAATTAGTAAATTTATACATTACGCATTATATAAAATAATAATTATTTTTAAATAAAATAAAAGTAATATTTTATTAAAAAATGTTATATTATAAATTAATTTGATAAAAAATTCATTGTAAAAATAAATATTATAATAAATCTTTAAATATAGATTAAAATTAATTATTATTTTAAATTAATAATAAATCTTTTAAACATCATTTAGATTAAAATTAATTATTATTTTAAATTAATAAATTACTAAATAATAAATAGTGTAATAAAGAATAAGTTTTTAATTTTAATTTTAATATTGAATAAATTTATTTTCTTATAATTTATATTAAATCATAATCTTTAAAATAAAACTAATTTCATAAAATAAAATTTACATTTTTAAAATATTTATTTATTTAAATATTTTTTTAATTAATTAATTTTGTATAAATATATTAATATAAATTTTTTTAAAATTCAATAAATAAAAATTGACTTATAAGCTCGTTTATTTAGGATAAAATTAAATAAAATTAATTTTTTTATTCATTTTAAAAAATAGATATCAAATTTTTTAACTTCACCCGATGAATTATACCAGACCGGATCGCCTTTTTTTCTATAACTCAATATCTACCACTGTCGAAACATAATGCAAAAATGTGTGAATTTCATACATTTCAACACAAAAATTAAAAAAATCCATAAATAAAATAAAATCTTCATCTATCTAACGCGAAAAAAAAAACAAAGAAAAAATTAAACATATTCGACTGTGTTGTTATATATAATTGAATATAATAAATATTAGTAAGTAAATATTCTAAAAATTTACACAGTAAGTATGCTAAAATACATTCTTAAAAAAAGTGAAAACAACCAAGGGACTTTTCCCCTGTCTTAGTTTCCCATGAAAGGATCCTTTGAAGAAGATAAGAGCCAATCAAATTTAAAACATTGGGTGCAAAAAATATTCATTCATTGAGTTTTCATGAATTACTATATCTAAAAATAGAAGCAATATTTTCACCAAAAACAAAAAAACAAGCACACCATCATGCAACTCAGATAAACCACATATTCAGTTATCTAAAGTTTTCAAAATTTCTAATGCAATTTGAAAAGTTTCTAAAAAAATAGTTCTGAAATTTACAATCTGTAAATAACTCCGGTTGTTAAAACATAATCTAAAAATAAATTATGAATTAACTTATTTGAATTAGATTTTCGAACTATATTTCTTAGAAATGTATTTTAGATTTAACCATCTTAAACATTACAAATATAAATCAAATACAATTTTTTTATTAGATTTTTAGATATTCAATATGTAATATTATTCAAACATAAATTACAAACAAATTTTTAACCTTAAATGAAAATATGTTTGTATAAGAGTTGTACTCACGAAGGTGGTCGTGCTAGTACAGCGGTGCCATACCAAAAAGGAAATATGGCTTCAATGATACTTTTAGATATATTACGAGGTGTATAGAAATTATATGGGTGCAAGAAGCAGCCCTTTTCATGGGCTTTCTGAAAGCTAGAGCCCAACCACGTGTCTTTGCACATTAAATTTTATATTTTTAAGGAAAAGAAGGAGAAAAGAAATGACCGGCGAAAGAAAAAAAGACGGTGGTGTTTAAATAAAACGAGAAGAATAAGACAGAAGGAGCTTCTTCTGCTGCTCCACTGCTTCAACGTCCCAACAACAACTTCACCACCCTTTCTCTCTCTCTGATTCTTCCAATTCCCGTTACTTTAGCAACTTCCTCAAACCCCACTAACTGTAAGCGCTTCTTCTTCCTCTTCTATTTCCCCCCATTGTTTCCGTTTAGTTTTTTAGTAACTCACTTCTTACATGAATGAATAGTAAAAGCTTTTCGGGTGCTTTGTTTTTCTCTTTTTTTGGATATTTACTGAATTTATTGGCATGGAAGCGTGTTGGTGTTTTGCTTGTGTTGTTTGTTTTTGAGCTTTTGTTACTGCTTACGCTCCATGTATCTTAGTGGTTGAGGTTGAGGTGGCTGTTTTGTTCGTTTATTTGGGTTTTGAGGGGCCTAATGGTGTGTCTGTATTTTAACTTAAGGTGTGTTGGTGACTTTGGTATTTGTGGCTTTCAGTGTTGCTGCTCTGTGAAGTTGGTGAGAGACAAATCTTGAGGAATTTTGGATCTGTTTCCTGTAAAACCCTAGTTTTCATCCGTGAGGCTTTGGAAATTGGGGTTCTGTGTTCATGGAAGCTGAGGATGGAACTAGCAACGGTGATAACGGTGAACGGACTGGGTTGGATAGGAGGTCAAATTCTCGAGATGGAGATGATGGGGGGAGAATTCAAGGTGGAAATGAGGTCGCGGGAGGTGAAGAAAGTCAAGGCTTGAAGGATGAAACTATAAATAATGGGGTTGTGATTGAAGTTGAAGATGTTCAGGGTTTGAATAAAGCTGTAGATAATAGGGTGGCAATTAAAGGTGGGAATGGTGTTGCTGAAGGTGAAGAAGTTCGGGGCTTGAAGCAGGAAGCTGTAAATAATTGGGTGACACATGAAGGAGGAAATGGTGTTGCTAAAAGGAAAGAAGTTTGGGGTTTGAAGAATGCAACTGTAAATAATGGAATGGTTCTTGAGGGTGGAAATGGTGTTGCTAAAGGTGCAGTTTGGGCCTTGAAGAATGATGTCATGAATAGCAGGGTTGTAATTGTTGATGGGAATGATGTTGCTGAATACGTTTTGGGCTCAAAGAATGAAGTTATAAATAGTGGGGTGGCAATTGCTGATGTGAATGGTGTTGCTTACAGTGGAGAAGGTCTGGGCTCAAAGAATGAAGCTGTAAATAATGAGGTGGTAATTGCAGACGGGAGTGATGTTACTAAAGGTGAAGAGTACCGGTTGAAGAATGGAAGTGTAGATAATGCAGTGGCAATTGCAGATGGATTTGGTGTTGTTGAAGGGAACACTTAGAAACTTATTTAGGGTTTCAATAAAGTGTCTAAAAGCATTGTTACATTGTACTTATAGATAAAAGAGATACAACATAGAGAATATGAGTCTCAACCCAATCCCTTAACCCTAAGGAACATACATAGACAATACAAAGATAAAAGAAAAACATGTCTCAACATTGTATGAATCAAGCTTGGAGCAAATCAATTGAATCCTAGGACCTCTCAAGGATTTAGTTAAAATGTCTGTTAGTTACTCATTGGAGGTTACAAATTCAGTTACAAGTTCCTTAGACACTAATTTTTCTCTAATAAGTGACAATTAATTTCGATATGTTTTGGTTTTTATGAAAAACTGAGTCGAAGGGAATATCTGTCCATTATCACAAAACAACTTTATCTACCCATTATCACAGAATTTTAATTATTGAAGGAGTTGAAGGAGTTTTTTTATCTACACAAGTTCACATGTAGCAAGTGTCATATATCTATACTCAGCTTTTGCATTAGATTGAGCAATAAAATTTTGCTTTTTAATCTTTCAAGAAATCAAATTCCCTTAAATAAAGATACAATATCCAGTAGTAAATCTTCTATCAATGGGACAATCAGATCAATCTGTATCACAATAACCTAGAATTTGAGTATTACCCTTATCTTCATATAACAATTTTTGTCTTGGGGTCCTTTTAATATATCTCGAAATGCGAATCAAGGCATCCCAACGATCAGTACAAGAATTTTGCATAAATTGGCTAAATGAGTTTACCAACCAACCTCCTATATCTTTTTAGGTTTGACAATTTTTCTCCTTTATCTCCCATTAATTTCTGATTTGGGTCCATTGAGGTATCAATGGGTTTACAATTTGTTAAACTTGTCTCCTTCAGAATACCAAGAGAATTCTTCTTTTGAGAGATAATCACACCTTCCTTTGATCGAGCCACTTCAATACCAAGGAAATACTTCAATTGACCAAGATCTTTGGTTTGAAAGTGAACAAATAGGTGATTCTTCAGTTGGTTGATCTTAGTATAATTATTGTCTGTAATAACAATATCATCAATATAAACCATAAGATATACACTTGCTTGAAGAGGAATGACAATAAAACACTGAGTGATCTGCTTCACTCCTTTTCAAGCCAAACAACTATACAATATGGCTGAATTTTCCAAACCAAACTCAGGTTGACTGCTTCGTGATAAGATTATCCATGATGGAACCTGATCACCAGCTAAGATTTGATCACGTACATGATCAAAATCAGAGTGCAGACTCCTCAAAATTAGAACTATATACAAGTTATCAAGTTTGGAGTTTAACTCCTCTAAGGTATTTGTTACAAGAAACCTTTTTAATTCCTCCACAGCAGTCCTAACTTTTGCAATGTGAGACATTATGTCATGATTTGTCTGTTTGAGAGGCGTCACTCTTTGAGTTGCATCAAATAGATGCTGAATATCGTTAGCAAAAATGTCTTGAGCCTTTTTCCAAAAGGAAGAATAAGTTTTGAATGACTTAAGAAGCTCAAGAACCTCAAGTTACACAGACTGCCATAAGATTGCATAAGGCTAAAAGTCTATTTTCTCCTAATGAGGTCTCTCTGAGGCAGAAACAGAGTTCACATCTTTCTCCAGATGATCATGATGTCCTTGACCTAGAAACCATAGTTTAACTGATGCAAACTAGGATAGATAATTTTTCTAGTTGAGTTTGACACTGGTTGTGGTAGGAGTAACAGAAAAAGAAAAATAGGGTACCTACATGCTAATTAGGTATGATATGAGCAACTCATTGCTAGTGCCGTCCCCTGAGCTTTGAACATCCGCTTCCAAAAGGAACTGATAAAAACACTATCTCTATTTGAAACTATGGATTTAGGGAATCCATGAATCGTTGCCACATGGTTAATAAACGCTTCTGCTATAGTTTTGCTACTATATTCAGCTTTGATAGCAATAAAATGACCAAATTTAGAGAGTCTATCAACAACTACCATTATAGTAGAAAACCCATGAGAGGGTGGTAATTGAGTAATGAAGTCCATGGCAACATCCTCCCAAATCTGTTGAGGAATGGGTAATGGCTGAAGTAGTCCTGCAAGTAATGTATGGTCCACCTTAGCCTGCTGACAAATGCTACAATTTCTGATATACTCCCTAATTTCCTGATGCATCTTTGGCCAATAAAATTGAGTACAGATTCTAGCAATAGTTTTAGCAATAGTTTTGGTGCACCCAGCATGACCACCAACTTTAGAGTCATGAAATTCATAAATGATCTGCCTCCTCAATGTTAAATCTGCTGGAACCATTAATTTATCCTTGCGGAACAATAATCCAAATTTTACCACATACTTGGGATCACAGAAATCAACTTGATTGTGCTAACTAATTATTTTCATTGATTCCTCATCTGTTTTCGTCATGTCCATTACTTTCTCCAGCCAACTGGCAGTAGGTTCAGACCATGCCATGAAAAGGCTTCTTGATAAAGCATCTGTTGGTATATTTTCCTTGCCTGGCTTGTACTGAATAGTGAAATCATAACCTAAAAACTTAGGTAACCATTGTTGTTGCTCAAGAGTATGAAAGGTTTGAGTAAGTAAGTCCTTAAGGCTCTTTTGATCAGTTCGAATAATGAATTTGTGTCCCAACAAGTAGTGTCTAAATTTAGCCATTGCCTCAATTATTGCATAAAATTCTCTTGTATACGTTGACTGCTTCTGCATTCTAGGGGAAAGCTTTTTTGAAAAATAAGCAATAGGGTGTTGATCTTGACTCAAAACAGCTTTGATACCTAGCCCGGAAGCATCAATTTCCAGTACAAAGGGCTCTTTAAAATTAGGAATTGCAAGAACTGGCTCAGAAGTCATAACTTCCTTGAGTTTGTGGAATGCCTCTATTGCAGCTTCCGACCGTCGAAAAGAGTTCTTTTTCAATAAATTATTAAGAGGCCCAACTATAGAAGCATAATTCTTAACAAACCTTCTATAGTATCCTATGAGTCCCAAAAATCCCCGTAGATGTTTAATTGTTGTTGGTTGAGGCCAATTTCTAACCACTTCCAGCTTAGCGTTTTCCATAGCAACACCTGCTCCAGACATTGTATGACCGAGATAATCAATTTTTCTAACTCCAAAAGAACACTTGGATAACCTAGCATAAAGCTGGTGTTGTTGCAACGTCCGTAACATAGTTTCCAAGTGTTTTAAATGATCATTCCAAGTGACGTTGTATATCAATATATCGTCAAAAAATATTAGCACACATTTTTGTAATATTCCTTTGAATATTTCATTCATCAAACTCTGAAAAGTGGCAGGCACATTTGTTAATTAAAACGGCATTACCAACCATTCATAATGACCATGGTGCGTTCGGAATGCAGTTTTATACCTGTCCTCTGGCTTCAATAAAATTTGATGATAACCAGATCTCAAATCCAGCTTTGAAAAGAAAGAGGCTCCAAATAATTCGTCAATGAGTTCATCCACTGTTGGAATAGGAAAAAGAGTCCTTAATTCTGATAGCATTCAATGCTCTATAATCTGTACAAACCCTCCATGATCCGTCCTTTTTCTTGACTAATATAATTGGAGAAGAGAATGGACTCTTACTAGGTTGTATAATGCCTTCTTCCAGCATGTTATGCACCAATTTCTCTATCTCATCCTTTTGACTATGTAAATATCTATATGGCTTAACCTTAACAGGTTGAGATCTTGGCATCAATGGAATTGAATGATCATGATATCGTTGAGGGGGTAATGAACTAGGTGTACTGAAAACATAGCCATAATTGTGTAATAATAATATCAACTCAGGTTTGAGGTTCGTAGGAATATCTGGTAGTGGAGACTGATAAGGGTGTTGTTCAACTAACTGCATGCTAAGTACTTTAGCAATTGAATCTGTATTAATCAACCTCCTTATGTGATGCAAATGAGCTTGCGTGGGAGCACAATCAGAGTCACCTTGTAATGTAATGAATTTTCCATTATGTAGAAATTCGAGTTGCGATGTTGCATAATCAACAATATGAGGCCCAAGAGTTTTTAACCAATTAACTCCAAGAATCAAGTCAACACCCGAGGCAACAGAAAAACAAGCAATAAGATGTCTATTTTTACGTTCAGCTACACCATTTTGTTGAGATGTATAAGCACAAGAAGTTTGATGCAAAATACCATGAGAAGCCATGAATTGTTTAAAAGAATGAGAAAGATATTCACGACCATTATCACTGCGCAAAACTCTAATAGAAACACCGAACTGAGTGAAGCCCTTTTCCTTGTTTGCAAGGGCGAGTTCAGTCATCACGATGAGATACCAATGCAGAAGCAGGTGTGTCAAGGTTGGGTTTTGCTGGTATATGCAAAAGAGTGGAGCAGGTTGATGTCAAGGTGGGGACAACCGGAGAACCCAAAATCTGATCACGAATATGTGAATATTGATCAGTAAGTCCGTGTAATGCCCCTAGCATGAAGAACTTTGATCGTTGTCCTATCTCGGTGGCAGGGTCGGGGGAAGGAAGCAATAACTCATTGAATTCATGAAAAAGAGTATGAATTTTGCCCATATAATCAGTCATAGAATCTTGATGTTTAGAGGCAATAACATCTACAAATTTAGAACAAACATCATAGAGACGTTGAATATCATTGATGTATAATAACTTGACATGTTCCCAAATTTTGGCACATGTTTCGTAGGAACGAAAAATTTGTTTTAACGAAGGATTAAGAGTACCTTGAGAACCACACATAATTGAGCATCAATGGTGTCCCAACGGTCTTCCTCACCAGGAGTGAGAGTAGGTGCTTTCGGGGCAAGATGATCAAGATACTTCTGACTCTTAAGCCATAATCTGACGTATAATGACCATGTGACATAATTAGGGCCAATTATCTTGTTAATGGATAAGTGCACATTAACATAGTTAGTGTAGATGGAAGGATCAGACGCAATACTGACAGAATTTGAAATACTTAAAAGAGCGGAAGAAGTCATAAAGGGCGCAGCGGAAGCGTGGTGGGCCCATAACCCACAGGTCCCAGGATCGGAACCTGGCTCTGATATCATGTTGAATATAGAAGAAATAGAGTTTGAAATTAATCTCCCTTGTGTATAAATCACACATAGGATAACCTATTTATAGTAGAGAGATACAATTAAAAAAGTAACTGAAAGTAACAGAATAAACAAAAGATATTGTTTGATATTGTGATTAACAATATCTAACAATATCTTAACAATATCAAGTAATATCTAAACAATATCTAACAAAATGCTTAAAAGGAAGAAACAATATTACAGATATGAAATTAAATGAACTCAGTGAAAGTCAAATTCAATTTCTTTTAATTCAAAACAATCTAAACAGTAAAACCTAACTTTCTATTTTAAAGTATATCATGTTCAAGGTTAAACGATAAAAAAATAATTAATATAATCTTAATTAACAAATGTTTTAATCCAATAACATAATATTATAGATTCGTGAATGATTTTGAACATTCGGCCATTATCAAAAGACTGATAAGATATGCAAGTAATTCAAGTTGATGGAATAAAATACCATTGAGCTAAAAGAATAATAAGAAAGTATCAATAAAGTGACTCAATATTGCATCTGAAATAAATAATAAAAGATACAGTAATAGTGTATATGTGCTCTACTCGGATATTATTTTCTAACAAACTAATTACTCTTAACAAGTCATATTGTCACAACAACAAACACTGTCAAACCCTAGCTTGTGGGAGGGAGGGGATAGACCATATCACAGGTGAAGATTTCTTGTCACATAATAAACAACTTTCAAGCATTTGGCCTAGTCTACACTATAACTTAAGCTTACATCACAGGATAATCAATTACATAAAATTATCACCTAAACATATCTACCAAAGCTGTAGTCATTGACACAGTAAATATATTTTGTTTTTGTGTGTGTAAAAGGTTTAGAAGAAAATTTGTTAGTAGGGATTCAACACTGCATGAAGACTACCAAATCTGGCAAATAGACTATTTAAAAAAAAAAAAAATTCATGGACGGGGTTAGTTCTGGCACATTTCTGACACAACATGAGGTAGCAGGAGTACCATGTTTCGGTTGCATGAGCCAATACATGGTGTTAGGTTAGTTGCTGACGCAATTGAGCAAGCAATTCAGAATGGTTTCTCAGACCTTAATATCTTCCAACTTGAATAGGGACCCTCTCCTACATCATTTAGGGAATTTGACCATCCCAATGCAGTTGCAATTTCTTGAAGTTCACCAATAACAAGTGTGGTGTCACGAATATATACACGCCCTCCTGGTCTTAGCATCCGATCCATCTCAAGCATAATGGTTGAGATGTTACACTTTTGCCTGAAAAACAATTTGTTTATCAAACACTGCTAATGGCAGGTGTCAATAGAGAGAAGTACAGTGTGATACACACCTCTTTTTTTCAACAGAGAAAAGACCTGCTGCATGCAGCAGATCATACGTTCTTGGGTATGTGTCAAATGGTTCACACCTGTCAAGGTAAAAAATCCCTACTCATAGTCCAAATTAAGAAAATAAAAAGAGAGACGTGAAAATATTTGACAATTAGTTTCAAAAGTAGAATAAATAAATTAACTAACTCTATGCATTATTTTATCTCTTCTAGTTATGTTTTCTCAACTCACTTAGATAAGACAAAAATGCACATTCACATATCACCTTTCATACTATACGCTTTCTAAAATGAAGCTCAATAGTCATAAATGTCCAGACAAAATCTATTCATTTTCATGCCAAATTAAATTAATATATAAAGACTTTCGATCATTTTGCACACGTTTTTTTCTGAAAAAATATTTTATGCAACTTGACCATTTTTATTTCAGAAGAAATCAATAAGGATATCCCTCGGAATTTCACATGCCAATCAGCTTAGATAATAATGCTATAACTGTGACAACTTCATTCAGTAAGACAACATCAATCCCATGGAATTAGATTAAAAACAAATATGCAAGCAACAGCCTCATACCAGTCATGCGCAACGCCTATCAGTCCACGGTCATATATAACAGGCAAGGTATTAAATCCACTAACAGGGACAACATTCATAACCCAACAATCAATCTGAAGATCATGCAATGCAGCAGCAACCCTGCAGTTATCAAAAGTGAAAGTTGTCATAACACTAATACCCACACTGAAAACAGCAAGGTCAGACAATCATTCTATAGAAAATTAATAACTGGCATATGTACAAAAAATAAGATAAAGAAAACAAGAAAAGTAACACTCTCATACCCTCCAAATCCTGCCCTCATGTCCATTACATTTCTCAGGTTATACTCCTGCCAACGGAAAGCCCGGACATAACTTTCTATTATTTCAAACCAATATTTTGTGTCAGCCCTCAAGAGTTCATCTCTAGATATAGTGGCATCCACTTGGATGCTTTGAAGCCTTTTCGGTGGTTCATGAAGACGCAAAGGCCACTTTGTAACATTTGCTCCAAATCCATTACTAGGTAATTGTGTGATGCAAGCCTTAAGATTCACATACCTGCAATTGTTTTGTGCTATCACTTGTTCTGCTAGGCATAAAACTCAAATTGACAAGTCAAACTATTATGGTATGACAATCAATCTTTTAGCATCTCTAACTCTTATAAGCCATCACATTCCAGTTCAAGTAATCATGAAGACCACAAACAAAAGATATATGGCTGGATTAAACAATATGTAGGTGTCATACCAAACATTATCTGGATCATCATTGGACTCACATAATGGAGGATGCACAGCCATGTCTCGACTAAGATAGCAGCTATTATTCATAGGTTTCTGCCATATAGCAATATAACCTTCCTTTTGTACAAGTTCCCAGCAAATACGAGTTGTCAGGTTCTCCATTTCTATTAAGTCCAAAGACCATGGGGGTTAAAACAAAATATCTCATCTTAATATATGAAGATATAGATAAGTTATGCCATATCATGTTATAATATTGATCACAGAAACAATGGAGGGAGAAAATAGTAGACCCCTAACATTTAAGTATCTATAAATCAATTACCCATTGAAAATGGTACTACTGTTTTGGTAAGCACAGAAATTAAATTATGAGCTACCTTTCCATTGTTCTTGAAGGGTCTCTTCATGTTTGTAAACTGGCTGTGCTGCCCAGACAAAGTAGCCACCTGCCCTCAGGAGCCTGTTGGCCTCAAGAAGCAAAATTCCATCTCCATTAAAGCCATATAAAAACAGAACATCAGTACAAAGAACTAAAGCCTTTAAGCAAAATTGTGATCCAACTATTATCTATTATTTCTTAAGTTGATAGAGTAAAAATATGATGAAATCCAAACAGTTCAAAACATAAAAGAACAATGTCATCATCTCACGTAGCTCATCAATTCATTGACAGAGTCAAAATAATAAATTAAACTCTTATTTGACTTTTTTTCCTTTCAACCTTAGTAGCTTCTAGCTTCAACCCTTCAACTTTTGAAGAAAATTATCATATATTCAAAGTTTTTTTCCTTCATAGAACGAAAAGGTCAACTAAGAAACCATCATAACCTTTCATTGCCACTGTGGTGTAGCCATGTACCTAAGTAAGTAGCTTCAAGTTATCTTTCTTTACTTAACAATTTAACCTTGGATACTTTTTATTCTGAGACAATTCATTCCACAGGGTAGCTCAATTACTTGTGTAAATTGTTTAAGTGACATTGCTGACCGAAAACAGCAGCAAAGAATTATTTTAGTACAAGTTGCTACATGTTTTCACATAATCTTTAAAAAAACATTTAGTTAGGAGATGAACAGTCAGAGATCAAAGGTTTAATGAGAGAGAGGAAGTACCATCACGAGTCCAATTAATTCTGCATCTTGAACAATGAATCAGATCAAATGCCTGGCTAGGGAACAACAAACGGTGTGTAGCAAACACTGCTGCCATGGCAGGCACGCCTCGCTCAAGCGCAAATTGAATCTGATTTTCATGAACATCTTTTGGAGCTATTGAAAGAGTGGTCACATTACGTTGCATCAAAAAGGCACCAAAACTTGCCACTCCACAGCCAACATCTAATGCAACTCTGGTGTTGTGACCAAATGAAATGTCAGGAACCATCTGCACATCAAATTTCACAACTACTCTCAATATGGTAGCAACAAAAATATCAGAACGAATTTAAATAAGAAACTAACCTCGGAAATCTGATCCAGGTATTTATCTGCACCATGTATAAATTGAGTTCCACCACCAGGAAAAACAAATTTATCATTCTTTATTGATATCCAATTTTGGCCACCTTTATCCTCAACCAAACGTGTATGGGGTACATTACTGAACCAAACCTGTAATTAAAAATAAGTTAGCAAACCCTTTCTTCCCAATCCAAACCAACCAAAAAGTGGCATATGATACAAAATTTAAATTTCACGAGTTTGTTAAATCAAGATTCACAAAATCAGATTCATCCCCAGCATATAATTAAGATATGAATCAACACTCAAAATGCCAAATACTAACCACAAGTACAACAAAAGTCTTATCCTACATGGATCACACATTGCTACTGGACTCAGTTAAAAATCGAATTGTTAGGAAAATTATTTACCTCATAACAATTTCTTCCAAAGCTCTTGGTCTCTCTCACTCTTTACATGACTAAAAATTATGTAACATATTCTTCTCACTGGTGCTTAACACTCCAAAAGAAGAAAAGCATCACTCATCCTGACCTTAATCGGACATACCACACCCGCGAATTGTACAACCACACCCGTCAATTGCACAACCACAAAATTGCCTTTTTCTATTTTTATTTTCTTTATGGTGTGTAATATGCTGAGGTATCTCTTTTCTTTTATAATCTTTTGCCCTATAGGTTGTATATAAGATATTCAAAGAAGACTATTCCATCAAATCTGTCTTAAGCATTCTTTCTGGTTTGTCTTTTCTTTTATATGATGAAGGTTCAGATTAAAAAGAATGCACATTCCACCATCCCTATAGTTAAATTTCTATCACCTGCCACCAATTTGTCAGAGTTATTGTTCTTGTTCATCTCCTGCTCATTTTAGCTTCTCATTAAAATCCAATAAGTATCTCAACTAAAGCTCCCACTAATAAGTTCATTGGTTAAACAATTAATAAATACATTCTCTTTTTTTATATAGAAAATCCCTTAGAGGGGTGCATTGGTAATACTTTCCCACGAAAACCTTCCACATTTATCCTTAACTTGTACATGTCGTTTATCACTTGGCATTCTCCTAGAACAAAATACATATTATCCTAGAATGTGCGCACAAGTTCTCAATTGCCATCCATGGTCAGGGTGCTAACTGATTAACCCCTTCAAAATGACCACTCGCCAAAACTACAACCAAACACCCCTCCTCAAAATCACCACCTAGAGAAGACAAAACTACCTTTTACATCAAACAAAAAACTGAACTTCGCAAGCTGTCCTTGACCAATGGTCATCCATGCACAAGACCGTCCTAACTAATCAGCCACTTCATCAAAATCACTACTCACCAAAAACCCAAATGCACGTCACCAACCACCCTAAGAAAGAAGACAAATATACAGCCTTTCACAAAGAAACAAAAAAACTTACAGAGCAAGTACCTCGTCTCTGCTTTTAGGCCAAAGGATGGGCCTCCGGTACCCTTTGGGCTGCGGCACCCGACAGTTTAGGCCCATCCCTTCTTGGGGACAATGCCGCTCGTACTTCTCCCCTCTCAAGCTCCCTTCCAACTTCTCAATCGCTTTCTTGTTATCTAAACACGGCACGTAATCCACCATCCTCACATCACACACCTTGTACTTCTCCACTTTCTTCCTCACACCATCACTCTCCTTCGCCCCGCTTAAAATGCTGCCGTTTACCCATTCCTCCTCAAAACCCAGATCCAACTCCCCCACTCTGAAATCCTCCGTCATCACGCCGTTCCCGTCCAACACCCCCATCCGCTCCACAGGCGGTAACGGCGGCACAAGGAACATTTTCGGCGACGGAGCCAGGGCAGGAGGAGGAGGAGGAAGAGGAGGAGGAGAAGGTGATGATGGTTGCCCCTTCGAGAGTGCATCGACGGCGGCGGAGGAGAATGCGAAGGAAGAATAAGAAGTGGGGGAGAAACGCGTGAAGAGAAAGAGAAAAAGGGTGAGGGAGAAGAGTAAGAGGGAGATAATTCTAACAGATGAAGAGGATTTCAGAAAATCCGTAGACCATATGGACTTCATTTGGTCTGAGTGCGTGAGAGAGAAGAGAAGAAAGTGTGTGGATCTCGCTTCAAGGGCGTTAAGACCAGAAAGTACGAGAATGAGAACGACCTTATTTACGGGATAACGTGTTTGTATAATTGCTGTGTTGGGTGTACAAAATGGGGACTAGTAAAATGCGTCAGTGTGAGAAGAGGTTCGCATTCTAAATAAAATACTAAGAAGAAAAACGGAAAAAAACAAATTAATGTTAAAAGAATTTGGTAACTTTGTTTCAATTTTAAGTTTTTTTTTTTTTTTTTTTAAGTAGAGGTTGAAACGGGATAAGTCGGACGGAACACTGACTGGACTACTCTTTCTTTTTATATCCCATTAAATTTTATTTTACTTTTACTATTATACTTATCTTTATAATATATTTTGGATTGATATTTTCGTAAACACTTTTTAAAATAAGCATGAGAGAAAAAGACGGGATAAGATCGGAATTAGAAATTAAGTTCACTCTCCTATCATTGTTAAATTTTGAGTTTTTCCAGTCCATCCTTTATTTATATTATTTTAAAAAAATAATTATAAATATAATAAAATAAATTAATTTTTATATATAAATAAATATTTATAATTTTATAATTTATAATTATTATTAATTAAATATATATTTTAATTTATTATATTTATATTAAAATATATATATATATATATATATAAAAGAAACATTTAATTATTTTTTCTTTATACAAATATATAATACTTATATTATAATAATAATAATAATATATTAAAACATTTGATTATATATAAGTAAATTATTTTTTAAGTCATCATTTAAAAATATGGACTATATAATTTATAAGAAAATATTTAATAAGTTAATTTTTATTTAATGAGTTTAAAATAATAAAAGTTTAAATTTTTAATTTTTTTAATCCTTTAAAATATAACTATTTTATTAAGATAAAATTTGATAAATGACAAATAAGAATTATAAGATCTAAAAAATATAATGCAATAAAATCTAATAAAGATAAATTATAAATAAAATAATATTAATTATAACTAAGATTTATATAAAATATTTAAAAATATATAAAAAAGAAGAAAAATTAACTTTATATTCATTAAATTTGCGAGTACCTATCTTTGCTCGACTTTTTAAAGTGAGAAAAATTCAAATATGGTTCGATCAACTCAATTTTTCCCTATCAAACTCGGGCGGAGACGGATGTGTCACCGCACGTATAGGTTTAATTGTCATCCCTATTTTGGAACACCCATTCCAAAATTTGTTTCGGAAAAAGTTAATCCGAAAATGCATTCCGAATTGGGGTATTCTAGAATGTGTTTCCCTAAAGGCTAATCTAGAAATGCATTCCGGAAACACATTCCAAAATACCCAATTTGGAATGCATTTTTGGATTGTCTTTTCTAGAATTCAATCTTATTTTCGAACATTGTTTCAAATTGAGCAATTTTGGTATGTTTGTACAATTTGAACGCATGAACATGTAATTCATATATAATATTAACGATTATTTACCTTAAATTATTAGAAAAAACCTTTAATGGATGTGATAGTATAAAAAAATCAAATAGCCAAGGGATGGAGGTGCAGAAGTTGTACATAAACAGAAGAAGAAGTTAGGGTAAACAAATTATGGGAAGGTATTTGACTTGGGGTATGGAGATGCAAGGAGAAATTATGGGGGTGCAAGAAGCAAGAGCTAAAATGGTGGGATGAATTAATGATTTTAGTCCGATCAACCCGTTTTGTCCCGCTCCGCTTAATCCGATCAATTTGGCGAGACAGAGTGATTGACCTACGGGTTTTAAAAAAATATTTATATATTAAAATAAAAAAAATATTATAATTACAAATTGAAATATGTAATTATAATATTATAATTTAAATTATAAAAATTAATCAATTAAATTTAAATTATTAATATAATTAGTTATTTTAACACATAAATATAATAATTTTTTCAATTTATCTAATAGAAATATTAATTAATAAATAAAAACTAAAAAAATTATTTATATAATTAAAAATATAGTTAAAAAAATACATATAAAAATTTGTTTTTAAAAAAAATATATTGTCGATCGAACTGCTAATCCATTAACACGTTCTTTGATGAGTGGGCTAAATTTTTGTAACTCGTCCTTACAAAGGTGGGTCAACTGCGCCACATCTCGTTTTTGCATGCTAGAGGCTAGACAAGCTAAAGTGGGACGACTAACCCATTTTGTCATCTCTAATTTTAAGCAATTTATATATCTTCAAAGGGAGTTATTTAAGAATAAAAATAAATATTTTATTATGGATATTTCATCTCGAGTTGCTCAATAAGAATTGTTTATTGATATGCTTAAATAAAATATTAGTTATTTAAAATAACTTTCTATTTGAGGAATTTTATGTGACATGATAAGTATTTAAATTGTTTTGATAGTTACTTCATCAAATAATTTACAAAAATAAACAAATGAAAATAAATGAAGAGAAAGAATGAATTTCTTAAAATTTATTAAGAAAACTTGTAATGAAGTATAATCGACAATAAATATTTAAAAATGATGTGATATTATAAATCCTTATTTTACAATTTTTTTAAGAGGTAAGAAGTAACTTACTTGAGTTGCTTCTATTAGAGATGCTAAAATTATAGAAAGTTTATTGTGTAAGTAATTGTAATGACTAAATTTTAAACAATGATGTAAGATTTATAATAAAATATTCATTTTTATTCTTAGATTATTTTAAAGTGACTTTTAGATAAAAAAACTATAATAAATATTTATTTTTATTTTTAAGTAACTCTTATTAATGACTCTTTTAACAAGATTTATATCTTATTCAAATTTTTAATCATTCCATAACTCATGTTTTATTGTTTTATTTTTATCTTTGTAAAAAAAATAATAAAGAAAATAATTTTAAATTTTATAAAAATAAAGAAAAGAAATTATATTAATTTTATATGTCCTAAAATTATATTTATGCTTTATTTATTTATATCTTAGTGCAATAAAAGTTATTAAAATAATATAAATTTAAAAACAACAAATCCCTAACGATTATATAGGCCAATATATATAAACAGGAGATAACAATCCTACATGAGAAGAAAATTTTATGTTGGTAATTTTAATAATATATTTATAGATTTAATTGTTTTATAAAGTAAACATATATAGAAAAAATGAAAAAATATTTTTAAAATATAATAATTTAAGGGATTTAAAAAAATAAAGAATGTTAAAGAGATAGTAGAAATAAATAAAAAAAATCATAATAGGATGAATTTCATTATTTAAAAGAAAAAACTATATTCTTTCTTAACTAAAAAATTCCCTGATATCGTAAAGGTTTTTTAAGTTTTTGAGATCGGAAATATAAACTTTAATATTTTATATTTAATAATTTTGAAAACCAAATTATTTATATATTTGAAATAAAAAAAATATTTATTCGGTCACGCTGACAGCGTGGGAGTAAATCTATTTTTGCCTTCTATAAATTTGGCGTTGTATTAGCTCGTGCATCCAACAATACACACAACTCGCACGCTACGCCAACGCTCCTTTTTATTTTTTTATGGATTGATCCTGTTAATTAATCACACTTCGGTTCAATTTGTTTTATTATATTTAAAAGAATTTAACAGCAAATAATATTTATTTGAAATTTAATATAAATAATTATTAGTGGACAGTATAGAATAACAAATTTAGAATTTATGGTAAAACATGGTAAAACCTTTTATTTTTCTTCTTATTAATAATTAAATATGTAAAGATTATATATTTTTTTCCTTTTTACATGTATTCTTCCAATTTGCTAAACGTTTCGTCCACTTCTTGTAATTGAATCCTTTCATGTAATATAATATAAAAACGATGCATCTATAGAGTATAAGACAAGAAATATATTTAAACTTAATTTTGTCTATTATTTTAAAGTTTTATTATCAATGTTAGTATTAAAAATTTGTTTGATATTTTATTGTTTATATTTATTTTGAATAAATTATTTTTTATAAATTTTATTTAAAGAAGTGATATATACAAATTTTTTTTTGTTTTCTTTTTTATATTTTGTTATTTATTTAAGAGAAATAGTTAAAGAGGTAAAGGTATTATCATACATGTTTCGGTGGAATTTCGATCGATCTCGATTCTAAGGGTGTTTTGGTCCTAATCGAAATCCTCCCACGTAAGTTCTTTTTACTTAGGCTAGCAATTTGATTTTCAATCGAAAACGTGTGTGAGAATCGAAAACTACAGGATATCGAAAATGTTGTTTTTGGTGTTTTGTATTTAAAGTATCGAAAGCATTAAGACTATTGAATCGAAAAACGAATGTTAAATTGCGAGGAAATATAAAGTGCGAAAACCCCAAATTTGCATGAATTGTAAATAGCGAGGAATCGAAAACAACGCAAATATAAATGACAAGAAATCGAAATTGCAAGAAAAGTAAATGACAGGAAATCGAGATTGCAAGAAAAGTAAATGACAGGAAATCGAGATTGCAAGAAAAGTAAATGACAGGAAATCGAGATTGCAAGAATGTTAAATCATGGAAACCTAAATGCATAAACTTAAATTTGCATTGAATTGAAATGGACAAGGAATCGAAAATACAGAAACATAAGACTGCTGAATTTAAGTTGCATCAAAGTAAATTACCAAGGAAAATACAGAAAACGGTAAATGTACTCAGTGAGCAAGGAAATCCAGATTGCCAGAAGCTTCATGGTGTTCGTCGTTTCTCCGGTAGACTTTTCACTACTGATTCTGTTCTCTGCCAATTTTTGCTCCCCTTTTCCTTCCTCCTTTGTTCTATTTATAGGGTATCCTTCAAGCCTTCCAAGAGCAGTTAACACGACTACTACCACGTTCTGCGTGCGTATGGCCGTTTATCTTCTATAGTTTCCCACGTTCTTCACGATCTCCGACTTTTTCCCATGATTTCAAAACTGCTCTTTATACGTGCATTCGACTTACTTCCTTTC